TGCGCGTGGGATATAAGTTTGTCAAAATACTCGCACGAAATAACCGAGAACATGCATTCGAATATATGAAACGTATGCAAAGGATGCAAAATATGCACGTTTTCCCTAAAAATCGGCGAAACAAACGATACAATTAACATTTTAAACGTTCGGTTTTTGAACCCTCCGTCGTACGAAAACGGATTTCTCGCTCGGTCCATTATGAATCGATAGCGTACGCAGTACAATATGCAACTCCTATAACTTCCGAGCCCTACAACACGTGACGTATGCAAATACCACGTTATTGCAATATTAAACGATTCTGCAGAAATCAATAAATTTGGAGGAGTAGGGGAAATCGGAAATGGAATTTCCTCAACGTATCCGTTGTGTATATACGGACAATCGCCGGTTCGCGGATAAAGAGAAACACAATATGTTCGCCCTGTATATAGTAGATATATAAAGGAATAGTTTGTGCTGCAGGTCTCGCTCTGTAGTTTGTGCTATATGTTATAATATTATCTCTCGTATATAACTGACCGGAATCAATAGGTCAATCGTTCGGGCAATATAAATTACATTTCGACTTACCAGTTATTACCGCGATCGCCGTCACTGTTGCTCTTCGGGCAATAATATTTTTCTTTCGTGATCGTAAAAAAAAAAAACCTTATCTTTATACAGAACGATCGACAAAACGTAAGACACTCGTTATCTCGAAAAGTATTCACAAAACATAGTAGCTTGCATTAAAAACGCCATAAATGGACGAAGTTTTAGTTTTAATCAAAGCCCCCCGAAATTAACATTCGAATACACAAAACAGCCAACTTGAAAAATCCGCGCACGCGTGTAATAATAATACTATTGACGTTTATACGTACATTCGGGTATTCCCGTTATTTTTTACTCGTGTAACATTGAAACACGTGAACACGGTTAATAAATTATCCGCGCGCACACGGATTTCATATTCACGTACGGAGTAGTTCACGTTTTTAATCGAGACCTCTATAACTGGTCAAATCCATTGTCGGTGTTGACGTTTTTGTTTACCGTCGTCAACCCGTTGAGCGTCGTACAAAAGCCGCGACACAATTATTGATGTTCCGCTACTCTCGCTACTATCCAAACATAACAGTGGACTATCTCGTTGACGAGTCGACGGAAATTATAAATTTAAACACCGAAATCTATCCAAACCCGAACTTCGTCTGTTTACGGAATTTGTGTAAATATTTATCATGTTGCTGCACAGCCGGACATCAAAAGTGGGCGGTTCCACGTTCAAAAATAAAAGATAAGACAGTAAAAAGACGGACGTACTTCGCACGTGCGTGGGTCGCAATTTTTGTAGGCGAGAAGTTGGAGAGGTAGAGAAGGAAATTGATTTCATATATCTGTACGCAACGATTAGCCATTGTAACGCAAAAAAACAATTTGCTTTGTCAACAATATACGTATATATATATGTCACATTATGATAAAATAATTAAACCGGAGCAATATTGCAGGTAGAAAAGTTGTGTGTGTGTGTGTGTGTGCAGAAAAAAAAATAAACATCATTGTAAAACGGATGCGTTCATCGTTCCGCTCAGGATTGAAATACAGCTGCGACGTAACATTTTCGAACCGCTCGTTCCTCGGATTTTCCAAAAAAAAAAAAAAAAAATTAACAACGACTCCGCGAAATTTCGAGATAATAACCTCGTTGTGCCCCGTGGTTCGCCCTGTATAACGCGCGAATTTATCGCCGGGACACTGCATCATATTATAATAATGTGTAATAAAACGTTTTTACTCGCGACAATATTGCGTTCTGTTTTTCCCGGCTGCGCTTGCAATTGTCTGCGGAGAAAAACGAAATATTTCAATTCTATAATAACACGTTGTTCCCCGTACCCGCGCGTTTTATAATTTAATATATTTTTTAACGCTCGACGACAAAATAAAATAAAAACAAATGTATTCCCGCCGTACACTAGCTGCGCCCGCGTCGCGTTTTATATTTCTTTTTGATTTCGAATATTGTATACGAATAAAAAACCGGAGTTCATATATTATGATACGCATATACTAGTTTTAAACGTTTAAAACTGTTTTTTTTTTTTTTTTTTTTTTTTTATACGCGTTTTAATATTAAACGATTTATGTACCTGGTTTTTTTTCATTTTTTATTCACATTATATATAATATATATTTGTACATTCGTGTTTTACATAATATTATTGTAGCGTACGGTCATCCCTACACCACTGCAGGACATACTCGTCTCGATACACGAAATAATAATATTTTAATTTTTCGCTAGAAAATTTTGAATTAAACGATGGATACGGCCGACTTTTTTAATGTACACCGATTTATTTCGTTCATTACACAGACATCTGGTATTCGAGAAATTCAACGATTTAAATCGATAGTTTTCAACATCTCGTTTATAACGCGATTCCGATCGATTCGGTTCATCACGATATGTATCGGGTCTGAATTAAAAACGTGGTGTATATATATATAAAAAAAAAAAAAAAATCGTTTTCCAACGTGTAAATGTGCAGAGTTTTAAATTATTCGATACGCGTTACACGTGGTACAATCGTGTTTATTTTCACTCGTCTTTTTATGCGCGCCAGTATATTGAATGTACTGATTCCCAGTATAAAAATATGCAATAATGTGGTACTTGAAGGAAAAAATTCCGAGCTGTCATTCGCGTGTAACAAAACGCAAAAATACACGCCGAGGCGCTGCAGAATGTTATGCAATTTAGTCCGTGTACGGTTTTCCTGTCTCCGTACACGTAATTATATCGTATAAGATCCGTCCGAATAATTTCGGAACTTCCGCCGGGGTTTCGCAGACCGCCGCAGTCAGAAACGTTCGCCGAATAACTTTTTAATTGACAAAAGGCACGGGCATACTTCGCAAGATGGGTGGGCCACTGTTGTGGGTGAGATGTCGTGAAGTTTAGAGGATACAGAGGGGAATTTAATATACCTATATCTGTACGCAGCGAATAATCATTGCGCATCAATCAGTGCATTTTCCCGGTTTTCTTAGGTTTTTTCCTGTTTACCGAGACGAGAAAACGCCCGGGAAAATCAAAAAGTGACCTCCCTGTAGTGCCGCCGCTGTCAGATTTCCTTTCCGGAAAAATACTATACTTGAAAACCAGTGCGATAAATTGCTGATAGAAAAGTTGTAAAACAAAAAGGATAACGACCATTGCAAAACCAATGCGTTCCTGGCTCCGCTGAGAATCTAAAACGAAAATACTGCGCGTCCTGTTCACGATTTCGACAATAAAAATACGTCCTTGGTGTTTTCAGAACACTTAATGATGATTATAATAATAGCGATGAGTGCGGCGGTCCGATCGTTGCCAAACCGATAGTATTAAAACGTCGGGTTTTCATTTCGTGCACAACTTCCATTTACTGCAGGTATGTGGTCGCATAATCGATAGGTCTTTTTGTAACATCGAAAACATTTTGTTCGGTTTTATTTTCGCGTTAATGTATAAAAATGGAAAACTAACACGTTGAAAAAAAAAAACCGCGAACCGCAGCGACCGGGTTCTGTTCGAAACGATACGCGGATACTCGTGTTACGCGCGCGTATTAGTGTTATTATCATAGTGTATAATAATAAATAATATTTTTTCCGATCCGGCTGTGGCGCGTTTCACGGAGAAGGCCATAGAGACAATATCGATTGCATCAATCACGTACTATCTCGCGCCTCGGCTGCTTTTTTTTTTCTTCTTTCTATTTATTATTATAAATCGTTTACGCGACCGCGTGTTTTTTGAAAATTCAACGTCGATACGCTTGTTTTGCGTAACGTCGAAGCAGCGGCCAGAACAGCGAGCACGTTAATGCCTGTAATAATTATTCGATTGTCCGGCCGGAACGGCATTCGCGGATTACACTGTGATTACTCGTGAAAATACGAAAAATCGAAAATATATCGTTTCCCCCCCCCTCTCTCTCTCACTCTCTCTCACTCTCTCTCTCTCTCTCTCTCTCTCTCT